TTAAATTTTTAGAAATTTGTTAAAAGTTAAATACATTAAAATTAAAAGTAATTGTTCTTAGTATTTCCCATCGACTTTGTAAATACCAACTCAATTTCCTTAAGTTTGAATAAGGCTCCACAATCTTCTACTTCCTTGTCTCATAGAGAGAGAGAGAGAGAGAGAGAGAGAGAGAGAAAGAGAGAGAGAGAAAGAATAGTCAGAGTAGGGGAGAGATCATGTAGTTGCTGAAGGAGACCAGAAACTTAGCAATAGGCAAAAGCCTTGTGGTGATGCACAGATTAATAGAAATGGGTTAATTTAAGATGTAAGAGTTAATAAAAATCTGGAGCTAATAGGCCAAATTGTTTTATAATTAATATAGTTTCTGTGTAATCATTTGTATCTGAGAAGCTAGGAAACAAATGAACAGTCTCAATTTACACAGTAGTATAGGATTCATATTTCAAAAGTGATATGTTTTTTCATAGCAGAAGGAGACATTATCACCTATTAGCTTGTGGAAAACAATTGTCTATGGGATGTTCAACCCCAGTTATAACATTCATGATAAACCCATTACACTTGAGGCTCAGGGTATATCTTAGAATATGAGGGAGAATGATAGCAATAATCCGATGGTAAGGAACTTTGCTACAGGATGACTTTTCTAGATATGACAGGGAAGTTACACTCAAATTCTCTAAAATATGGCTATTGAATATAACCTAAATAGTTATAACATCAAGTGAATTATGATGTTGCTGAGAAGAGTTACTTGGGACCACAAGACTAGATGATGAGTTGCAATTAAAATCGTTGGAGAAAGACAGATGAGCACCAGAAAAGGTTATCCAATGTTAAGTGGTCAATCCTAAAATATACAGATGGTCCATATTAAATGTGATCACACTGTTGAATTTATATACTTATCCTTATGCGCTTACACATGTAGCCACAATCATTAAAGAACATTGGATCTTGAATATCAAAGGAATTTTGGTGCGTGGTAGGTGTGGGGAGAGGGAAAGGGCAGGAAGAAACGGTGTAATTATATTATATTTAAATAACATACTAAAAATAACACTGACATTCTTTAGATCAATTAAAAATAAAGAACAAAAAGTAGTAGAGGAGTTAGATAACTCTGTAAAGGCCTATAATAAATTAAAGAAGATATATAAGGATAAATCAGGAGAGCACTTGAGCAATGGTAAAAAACCCAACCTTCAGAAAGTGTATGTAGAAAAAGAATAACAGCATAGATCACATTCTTTAGAATATCTTGGTAGAAATTTTCCAAAAACTAGAGTAGGATATTAACATCTATGTATAATAGGTGTAGAGAGGTGGAAATACAGAGACAAGAAGAACAGGAACTGGCATTAGAATATATTCAAAAATTCATAAAATTATCATATAACAAAATCAGAAAAGAAAGCAACTAAAAGTTGTAAGAGAGAAAAAAAATAAAATTACTCTTATGACAGGGCTTTCAGAATTACATCAGGGTTTTTAACACAAACATTTAAAACCAGAGGGATCCATAGTGATATATTACAGATTCTGAATGACAGTTCTCAACCCAGAATAATATGCCCAGCAATGTATTAAGGAGAAATACATACTTAATAAAATACCTTACATATCTTTTCTTTTCCTTCTGTTCCTCCATATACTCTACTTTCATCCTCACCTCTGTAGGAGAATACCTGTGGCAGCCTTCCCTGACCCCACTTTGATCCCATTGATTTTAGCCTTTCCCAAATGTTACTTTATCCAAGAAACCAAGTCCATCAGGTCACCAGTAGGTTCCCCTCAGGCTTTGCCTGCAAGAAAACTAAGGAGTCTGCATGAAGATATTCTCTTCTCTTTTGTTTCCCCACATTCAAGCTCTCATTCTTATCTCCAGCACTGTAGCAGGATACTTGTTGCTGCATTGCCTACTCCCTTCTCTGACCTATTATGGATTGCACAGACTCCCGTCCTAGCCTCAATCTCCTTACTTATTTATTTATTCAAGACAGCACTTCCTGCTAACAAACAGACAACTCCTGCAAAGGAAGCAGGTAGGCCGACTGTATATCTTCTACTGTCCCTCTGTTGCCCTATATCTAATCACCCAGTCTCATTTCCAGGAACTACATATGCTAACTTTGCCTACTCTCCATAGTAACTGCATCAAAGTCATATAAAGAAAAATCACAAGTTACAAAAGAAAAAAAATCCTCATGTTCAAGTTGGGGGAAGGATGGAGTGGAGAGAAATGAAGGAGATATCTCAACAGAGGGAATCATGAGGTTATGGAGAAGCCTGATGCTAGGGAAATTCCAAATATTCCACAAAAATGACCCTTAGCAGTAGTGGAGAGGGTGCCCAAACTGACCTTCCTTTGTAATCATAATGGTGAATACCCTAACAATCATTATTGAAACTTCTTCAAGTAACTGATGGAAGCAGATGCAGAGACCACATCAAGTACCAGGATATGAGTCCAGTCAAAAGAGGGAGGAAGGTTTATATGAGAAAATGGGGTCAGGCCCAAAATTGTGGAAACTCAAGAACTCTAGACCAACAGCTGGGGAGCCTGCATGGGATAGAACTAGGTCCACTTTATGTAGGTGACAATTTTATAGCCTTTTTTGTGGGACCCCTGTCAATGCAACCAGGATCTATCCCTAAAGCATGAGCTGGCTTTCTGAAGCTGACCCCAAATGGTAGAATGTCTTTCTTAAACTTGATGCTGTTGGGGAGATGCTTAGTCCTCAACTGAATGTGCCAGGCCTTGTGACTCCCCATGGGAGGCCTTACCCTCTCTGAGGAGTGGATGGTGTGGGTTAAGGAAATGGGGTGGAACAGAAGGAAGGAAGGGAAGAGGAACTTTATTTGGTATAAATTAATAAAAAATAAAAGGAAAAATTTACCAAATCTAATAAATTCCATGAGTGCAATTTGAAGTAAAAAATTAAACTTAGGTATGACTCTGTACAACAGAAATTAGTGAACTAAAACTAAATCAAAGAAATAATCACATTTAAATTGTTGGAAAAGATTTAGTATTGCATAATCATAAACATGAAAGATTGACACACTTAGAACCATTTCTGGATCTAAGAAGTTAAAAATAAATAAATAAGTGGAAAATCAATTCATGCACAAATGCTGAAATTTGGAGTAGCTTTAAAATGGAGGT